CAGGTGGGGCAACCCATGTTGCTGCATTGTGGTGCTATATGTGCAGGAGGGGTCAAAGAGGGCACAGTGCCACTTCCTTGGCTCTTAGTCAGCTTTCAGTCACTTCCCCCACTACCTTCAAGGAAACTAGGCCCTTTCAGGTGCTCATTCCCAGGCCGGTGGATTTGAAAATGCTCTAGGACCCTGTAGTCTCTCCAGTGAACTCTCCTGTGAGGCTAAGAGCTTCTCTCGCCTTTGCAACCACTACAGGATTTTCCTACTAGGGGTTTTTAGTCTTTAGTTTTCAGGTCATCCAGACCCATCCTCACCCTGACAGGTTTCTAATTTTTAATGCAGAGAAAGCTTTTTTGATAAATGGTGCTAAGATAACTGTATATCAGTATATAAAAAAAATAAAGTTGGATCTTTACTTCCCATCTTTTATGATAAATTAACTCAAAATAGTTCAAAAACTTAAATATAAAAGATAAAACTCTTAGCAAACAACATAGGAGTAACTCTTTATAACCTTAGATTGGTCAATGGTTTCTTAGGTATGACACCTAAAGTAAAAGCAACCAAAGAGAAAATAAATTTCTGGCCAAGGTGGAGGTGTAGGTAGATACACTGTGCATCATCGCTCAACCAAAAGAAGGACAACAAAAAGTTTAAAACAAACAAAAAAAAACCAACCAGAACTGCCAGAAAATTGAACTGTATGGAAGCCAGAAAACCAAGGAGTTAAGGAAGAAACATTCACCCAGATGGGTAGGAGGTGGAGAGACAGGCAGTTGAGCAGAGAGGACTCATGGAAAGATGGTGGCTGGAGGAACAAGCAGTCCCACATCTGCATCAGATAAACCAGGAGGAACAGCTGGAGAGTGAGACAGACCACACAAACCAGGGTTCCCCTGCAGGGAAATAAAGCCTCACAGCCTCTGACTAAAAAAATCCTGTGGGGGTTGAGGCAGTGGGAGAAACTCCCAGCCTCACAGAAGAGTTGACTGGAGAGATCCACAGGGTCCTAGAATGCACACAAACCCACCCACATGGGAATCAGCACCAGAAGGGCTCAACTTGCTTGTGGGTAGTGGAAGAAGTGACTGAAGGCCAGCAGGAAGCTGAGAGTGGAGCAAGCACCCTTGTTCTCTCGTGAACCCCTCCCCCACATACAGTGCCACAAGGTAGTGACTGGGTTGCCAAGCTCTAGCGAATACCTAAGGCTCCGCCCCTTACTACATAACAAGTATGCCAAGCCAATATATATATATATATATATTCCAAATGAAAGAAAAAATCAAAGCTCCAGAAAAAATACAATTAAGCAACAAAGAGATAGCCAATGTATCAGTTCCATTACCAGTTCAAAACACTGGTAATCAGGATGCTCAGAGAATTGGTTGAATTTGGTTGAAAATTAGAAGAAAAAAATGAAGGCTATGCTAAGTGAAATAAAGGAAAATGTACAGGGAACCAAAAATGATGGGATGGAAACTGGGACTCAAATCAACAGCATGGACCAGAAGGAAGAAAGAAATATCCAATCAGAAAAATATGAAGAAACAGGAATTCAAAAAAAATGAAGAGAGGCTTAGGAACCTCCAGGACATCTTGAAATGTCCCAACATCTGAATTATAGAGGTACCAGAAGGAGCAGAGGAAGAGCAACAAGTGGAAGAGGTATTTGAACAAATAATAAATGAAAATTTCTCCAATCTGGCAAAGGAAATAGACTTCCAAGAAATCCAGGAATCTCAAAGAGTACCAAAGAAGTTGGACCCAAGAAGGAACACACCAAGGCACATCATAATTACATTATCCAATATTAAAGATAAGGAGAGAATTTTAAAAGCAGCAAGAGAAAAGGAGACAGTTACTTCCAAAGGCATTCCCATAATACTATCAGTTGATGTCTTAAAGGAAAGTTTGCAGGCAAGAAGGGGGTGTAAAGAAGTATTAGAAGTCATGAAAGTGAAGGACCTGCATCCAAGATTATAGCAAAGCTATCATTTAGGATAGAAGGGCAGATAAAGTGCTTCCCAGATAAGGTAAAGCTAAGGAGTTCATCTTCACCAAAACCTTATTATATGAAATGTTAAAGGGACTTATCTATGAAAATATGAACAGTAAAATAACAAACTCGCAACTATTAACAAAGGAACCTATAAACAAAAAACAAAAACCAACTAAGCAAACAACTAGAACAGGAACAGAATCACAGAAATGGAGATCACATGGAGGGTTATCAGCAGGGAAGGGAAGGGGGGATAGGGGACAATGTACAAGGAATGAATAGCATAAATGGTAGGTAGCAAATAGGGGGAGGTTAAAAATAGTATAGGGAATGTAGAAGCCAAAGAACTTATATGTACAACCCATGGACATGAGCTAAGGGGGAGGGGGCGGAATGAGGGTGGGAGGGGTATGTAGGGCAGAAGAGAATAAAGGGTGGAAAATGAGACAACCGTAATAGGGTAATCAACGAAATATATTTTAAGAGAAAAAAATAGATGAATTTGTTTTAATAAAAAAATTAAAATGTATGTATCAAAGGACATTATTAAAAAAGTAAAAATACAATTCATGGACATAGAAGAAAATATTTGCAAATGATATATCTGATAAAGTTACAGTATCCAAGATTATATAAAGACCTTCTATAACTCAACAATAAAAGACAAGTGACTCAATTCAAAAATGAACAGAGGATTTTGATTGTCTTCTCCAAAGAAGGTAAACAAGTGTTAAACAAGCACAGAAAAAGAACGTCATTGATCTTTAAGGAATGCAAATCAAAATTACAATAAAATACAACTTCATACTCACTAGGGTTTCTATAATCAAAAATAAGAACAAAAACAAGTGGTGGTGAGGCTGTGGAAAAATTGAAACCCTTAAACCTTAATGAGAAGAATGTAAAACGGTGCAGCCACTTTGAAAAAGTTCACACTTTATCAAAACCTTAAACATAGAGCTATCATATGATGCAGCAATTTCACACCTAGGTTTATATCCAAGAAAATTGAAAACAAGAGACTTCTGCCAAGATAGAGGCATAAGTGGAAGCAGTTCGCCTTCTCACACAACCAAGTTTAAAAACAACAAAGTTTTAGCAACAAAAACACAGCCAAACCACAGAAAATTGAACTACACAGAAGTCTGACAATAATGAACCCTTCAGCCAAACTGGTAAGAGGGGCAGAGCCAGCAGCAGAGCCGTGTCAGGCAGAAAAGATCCACCAGACAGACCCGGCGCGCTACCCAGGTGCACCAGCAGCCCTGGACAGATCCCAGGTGTGGAGTAGCGGGTGGACCCACTGAGGGTGCAAGGTGTTGGACCCACTGAGGGCAGACTGTGGTCACACATTCTCGCACAAATAAACTGGTGAAGGACCTAGCAGTGGTGAGACAGACCGCGCAGGCCCCAGCAGTGGAAAGCAGCAGAGAGAACCGCCATTGTCCTTCTCTGACTCCGCCCCCACATACAGCGTCACAAATCAGCGACCTGGGTGGCCCCTCCCTGTCTACACCCCCACATACAGCATCACAAAACAGTGACCTGGGTGGCCCTGCCCTGGTGAACACCTAAGGCTCTGCTCCTCATACCTAACAGGCACAAACAGATTGAAACATGGCTCAAGAACAACTCAGAGCCCCAGAGCCCATAAATCTAAGCAATGAAGAAATAGCCATACTTTCAGATGCACAGTTCAAAACACTGGTGATCAGGATGCTCACAGAACTGGTTGCTTTTAGTCACAAATTGAAGGAACATATGAAGGCTAAACTAATTGAAATGAATGAAAATACACAGGAAACCAATAGTAATGGAAAGGAAACTGGGACTCAAATCAAAGGAGTGGAACAGAAGGAGGAAAAAAAATGACCAAACAGAAAAGGATGAAGAAACAAGAATTCAAAAAAATGAGGAGAGGCTTAGGAACCTCTAGGACAGCTTTAAACATTCCAACATCCAAATTATAGGGGTACCAGAAGGGGAAGAGGAACAGCCATGAGTGGAAAATTTATTTGGACAAATAATAAAAGAGGCAACTTCCCCAATCTGGCAAAGGCAATAGACTTCCAGGAAATCCAGGAAGCTCAGAGAGTCCCAAAGAATTTGGTTGGATCCAAGGAGGAACACACCAAGGCACATCATCATTACATTAGCCAAAATTAAAATGAAGAAGAGAATCCTAGAAGCAGCAAGAGATAAGGGGACAGTCACCTACAAGGGAGTCCCCATCAGACTGTCAGTGGATTTCTCAAAAGAGACCTTACAGGCAAGAAGGGGCTGGAAAGAAGTATTCCAAGTCATGAAATCCAAAGACCTACATCCAAGATTGATCTATCCAGCAAAGCTTTCATTTAGAATGAAAGGGCAGATAAAGTGCTTCTCAGATAAGATCAAATTCGAGGAGTTCATCATCACCAAGCCCTTATTATATGAAATGTTAAAGGGACTTACCTAAGAAAAAGAAGATAAAAAAGATGAACAGTGAAAGGACAGCAAACTCACAGTTATTAAGAACCACACCTAAAACAAAAGCAAACTAAGAGGACAGCTAGATCAGGAGCAGAACCATAGAAATGAAGATCACATGGAGGGTTAGCAACAGGGGAGTGAGAGAAGGAGAAGGGGGGAGAAGTTACAGAAAATAAGTAGCACAGATGGTAGGTAAGAAATAGATAAGGGGGAGGGCAAGAGTAGTATGGGAAATATAGAATCTAAAGAACTTGAGACATGTGGTCATAAACTAAAGGGGGGGAATGGTGAGGGAGGGGTGTGCAGGGTGGAGGGGACTGAAGGGGGGAAATGGAACAACTGTAATGGCATAATTAATAAAATATATTAAAAATAGGAAAAAAGAAAATTGAAAACATGTGTTAATATGGACACTACGCAAGTTCTACATAAGTGTGATAATAGCCAAAAGATACAAACAATCCAAATATGATATATCTATAAAATAAAATACTCAGTTATAAAAAGGAATAAAGTACTGATATATGGCACAAAATAGAAATATCATGCAAAATTTATTTTCAGTGAAAGAAGTCAGACACAGAAATCAAATCTTATAGGATTCTTCTTACATAAAATGATCAGAATAGGCAAATCCATGTTGACAGCAGGTTAGTAGTTGTCTAAGGGTCAGGGAGGGGGGAATGAAAAGTGACTGCTCATGGGTCCAGGATTTCTTTTTTCCCTTCTCAATTACATTTGGCAGATAGTATTTTATTAGTTGCAGGTGTACAAGAGTGATGAGACCTGTATTAGCTTACAAAGTGACCATCCCAATAAGTGTACTTTCTATCTGACACTATACATAGTGGTTACAATATTATTGACTACATTCCCTATATCTTACACCTTCCATTACTGGTTTTATGACTGGAAATTTTTGGAGTGATGAAGATAGTCTGGAATCAGATAGTGTTGATGATTGTACACTTCAGACGAGATTGGGCATGTTCAGGGTGGTATGGCCATAGACTGAATCGTACGCTTTAAATGGTTAAATTTGATGGCATGTGAATTATAAAAATGCAAGATTGGAGCGTGGCCCAGAATTCTCATTTTCTTAAAGCTCTCAGGTGATGTTATGCACCTGGTTCACAAATCATACTTGGTATAACAGGAGTTTAGAGAACTCTTTCTGAGATCTGGGTGCGGCATACTTCAGCAAGTAATATTAGCAGTGTAGTTGTATTTTGCTGGAAAGGGATATCACTCTTATGTTAAATATATCCTATGTTAAAGTGGTAACTGAGCAACAGATATTGGGTTAATGTGTGATGTACATTGTCACAAGGGACATCCTCCTATCTCCCTAAGATGGTATGTATAACGTACATCTTATCACCCCACCCGCCCCTACCCCCTTAGGGACAGAGTAGGCTCTAGTGGAACGAACATCAGGGATGCTACATCTGGGAAACTAGACAGTAGACTAAGAACTATATCAAGCTGGGACCAACCAGGAAAACAGAATCCATTCATAGCATTTAACACAGGGGAAAATTTACTGGGAATTTTTTGCATAGTTAATGAGTGAATAAGATGACAAATGGGATAGTGAGACACCCTAGATTTTAGTAACAGTAGGAAACCCCTTACATGCCTTGGCTGTTAAGGAAAGAGCGTGTATTAACAAATTCCATGGGCCAGATCATACCCAGGAAATTGAAAGCAGTGAGTCTGTCTCACTCTCTGGCATGTCAGGAGCGGGAAATGCAGAGGGAACAGCTAGAGGCACCACACAGGTAGAAAGGACGGGAGAAACGCCCTGGCTTCTCCCTTTCTCCCACCCTCCACATCCGTGTGGGTTGCTATAACAAGATCCACAGACTGGTTGGCTTTCAGAATAATTCATCCTCATAGTTCTGCAGGCTGGGAAATTAAAGCTCTTGATGTTAGCCTATTTGGATACTGGCGAGAGCTCTCTTCTTGGCTTCCTTCTTGCTATTTCCTCTCATGGCAGAGAGAAAGCTCATCTCTCTCCTGCTCTTTTTATAAGGACCCTAATTCTACCCACCTGGGCTCCACCCTCATGACAATTGCTTCCCAAAGACCCTGCCTCCAAATAGTATCACATTGAGGATTAGGGCTTCTATATATGAACTTGGGAGGAAGCAAACATTCTGTCCATAGTACTCTAGGATCCTGGAAGGGCCTCCTCATAGCTAAAATTCATTGGAAATCAGCCGACATGCCAGCTGGTCCCAGCCTGGGAACAGTATATGGGATCAGCCCAGAACAAGGGAAGAAGAAGAATGGAGAGAAAAATCGACCAAAGACTAGCATAAGGCCTTAAAGGAAGGAGTTATTTCTCATTTATCATCATAAATGCCAAGGAATAAAAAAAATCAGAAGGCCTGGTTGAAAAGCTCTTTCATGTTTCCCAACTTTGGCTGCACATTAGAAGGTTTTTAAAATATACTGCCACACTGCACCCCAGGCCATTCAAAATCTCTCCGGGTGGGACCCAAGTATGAGTGTTGTTTTTTTTTTAAACTACAACATGCAGCGAAAGTTAAGAAAAACTACTTTAGGAAAAGATTTTTGGCAGATAATATTTTATGTATCTTAGTATTAGGATTTACAGTAACAGAGAGCATCATTTTTCTACTGGCCTTGTATCACAGTAGGAAACCGGAACAAGAGAAGAAAGGAAGGAGACAAGCAGAACAGACAAGGAAGGTTCACGAATAGGTTTGTTTTTATGGCGACTATAACATTTTAGAAAGATGTCTAAAAGGAGAGCAAAATATTGAGCTGGCAATCATAATCAGAGCAATTCAAATAAAGAATCTGACTAAGGAAAATAAAATCATTGGTGTTAGGTGGTGGAAATAAGAGAAGTTAAGCTAATAAATCCAAGAGAAATTAGACCAGCTGCACACAGAAGAGACAGCCACAAAACAAGAAAAGAGGCAGAACTGGAGAAAAGATTGCATCCTTTTGACCACAAAAAGGTGTAAGGGACCACTTCCCTCTTGAGGGAGTGGCCAAGGCAGCATTAGCACTCTCCCCTTGAGAGAGTAGTCCTGCCTGTTCCCTCTTTCCACACAAGATTGTTCTCGCTTGTGCATTGATTCTCCTCATCAACCACAAAACAGGCGGACTCTGCTGGACAGAGTCTACAACAAAAAGGTCAAACCACAGGATCCAAAAGCATAATAGAAAACCTAGAGGTGGGGTGACATCATTAGACAGTGTTTGTGCTGCTTCTGGTTGCCCAGGAAATGGGAACCCCTTCCTCATTCTAAGAACAGCATAATGAGGAAAAACATAAGCAATATAGTCACAAATAATTAGAGGCGGATTCAGACCTGGTCCAGGGAGCTTCCTTGGAGAAAGGCTAGGTAAGAATTGGGGTGGGATTTATATGAGAGGTTGTAAGAAAATAAATTTAATTTATGTGTGAAAGCCAGAAGTTGAGGCTTCTGTAGAGTGTCTAGAAATCAGGAATTAACAGGAGGCTGCTTCTCCATGTTGTCTCTTGATGCACTGGGCAGGTTTATCTGGGAATGCAGATTCCAGACAGCTGGGGCTTGGCTGGTTCTCCACTCAGAAAGTGGAAACACTGATGTCTGATGTAGAAGGAAAAAAAAATCATAATTTACAAAATTTACTCTGCCTGTTAGAAATATGTAAATGCCAATTTTTGTTTTGTTTTTACTCAGTTGTTCTGCCTCTCTAGATGCTAAAAATTCTAGTTTTAATATTTTAACTTCTTAAAAGGATTTTATTTATTTATTTCTAAAGAGAGGGGAAGGAAGGGAGAAAGAGAGGGAGAGAAACATTGATGTGTCAGAGAAATATCAATTGATTGCCTCTGGCACACACCCCAACTGGGGACCGGGCCCACAACATGTGCCCTGACTGGGAATCAAACAGGCAACCTTTGGCTTTGTGGGAAGACACTCAACCAACTGAGCCCCACTGGTCAGGGCCCACGTTTTAGCATTTTAAAAACATATTGTAAAGGGATTATCTTCACAAACTATTTTTGATATTTAAAGATATTTTTAAGTACTTTTTTTATATCTTAGGACAGAAATTTAAGTACAATATTTTAATTTTAAAGGTTTTTTTTCAGTGATTAAAGCAGAAATTGAAATGCTTAATGTTTTAGAGCAATGTTTCTCAAACTTTCCTGTGTACAAGAATAACCTGGGGATCTTGTTATAGATTCTGCTGGTCTGAGCTGAGGTCTAAGATTCTGCATTTGTAACAAGCTCTGAGGTAATTCCACTGCTGCTGCTCTAAGGACCTCACTTTGAGAGGCAAAATTTCAATTCATTAATAGCAGTTAGCAGGAAATACAAATGGAAATTTGGTAGTTAAATGTTAACCAAATATACTGTTCTTGTTTCATGAACTTTTTTTCACTTGTGGAAACACTTTTTTGGTCATATTTTCCTTTTGTAAATTACACAGTAATGAACTGTTATAAAAATTCACTAATTGTAGATATGGGTGGAGTAAAAGAAACTCACAGTTATTAACAACCACACCTAAAACGAAAGCAAACTAAGAGGACAGCTAGATCAGGAGTGGAAACATAGAAATGAAGATCTCAAGGAGGGTTAACAACAGGGGAGTGGGAGGAGGAGAAGGGGGGGAGAAGGTACAGAAAATAAGTAGCATAGACAGTAGATAGAAAATAGATGGGGGGGGACAAGAATAGCATGGGAAATATAGAATCTAAAGGACTTGAGACACATGGTCATAAACTAAAGGGGGGTAATGGTGGGGATGAGGGGTAGGGTGGAGGGGAATAAAGGGGGAATAGAACAACTGTAACAGCATAATCAATAAAAAAATTAAAAAAATAAACTTTGTACATATTAAAAAAAAAGAAAAGTCCATGTTTATTCTCCACCCTTCTCCTCCCTCAGTCTCTTCCTTTTGTAGATAATAAATATTTTGGTATAGTAAACTTTCTGTATATGTAGATAAAAATAAATGGGAAGAGAATGAATATGTTGGTATTTATTGAGAACTTTTACAATGTCACAGTCATGCTACGTAATAAATTTACCTGCAAATTCAGTAGTTTACACAACAGTAAGCATTTTGTCCTCACGCTTGGGGTCTCATCTAGAACAGGCTTGGCTAAGCAGCTCTGCTTCAGGTGCTCTGTCCCAAAACAGAAACACCTGTCTGGGTCTGCATTCAAGTTGGCTCCACATTTCATTCTGCAGCCTAAGCTGAAGCCGAAGAAGAGCAGTTACTTGGGATGTGTCCTCTTCATAGAGGATCACAATTGCCAAGAAGACAAGTGCAACATTCAGGTTAATGCGATGTCTGCTAACTTTGTTTAAACAAGTTACGTGGCCAAGCCCAGAAACCAAGCTGTTCACTCAGTCAACCCTAATGTCATGGCAGAAGGGTGTATTTATAATTTCATTAGAAGAAAATAAAGAATTGTGAGTTTTTCATCTATGAAGCCATTGACACTATTTTCTTTCTAGCTTTTCTTCTATGTTCTGTTCAGCCTTCTGTGCCTTGTGAAATCAACTTCATTTAAGTCAAATTTTCATAAATTGTCATTGTTCTTCTGTCAGAAAACACTGGGTAAGGAAAAAAAGGGTCACAACCCTTCTCCTCTTTGAATGACTCCACCTCAGTGACAGTCCAGAACAATGACTAATACCAGAGAATCAAAAAATCCCCAATGGTTTCCATGTGTTCATACAGGAACAGAGCAGAGCAGTTACTTAACAGTTTGGGGAGGGCCTTTGTTTATAGGGTAGAGCAATAAGCATGTTGGTTTCTTTCCTAATTTGTTCTTCAGCCACAGCCAATGGGATTTTCATTAAGGGGCTCTAATCCATTTTGAAGTTTTTGTCTGCAAATTTTAACAAATAATCTCAGTTTCAAAGCTATTTTAGTTGCCTCTAACACTTTACTAATTAAATATTCTTCATTCCACCTACATACCAGAAGGAGGTTTTCGCTCTAATTTTTCTCTGTGTTTGGACATTTTGACCTGTGCAAAACTATCTCAGGGTGCACAGTAGAAACCACGATGCTCCAATCTATATGTCCTTGGCCAATCTCTGGATTCACTACAGCCCTATGTATACCCATCCCCTCTACCTCAACCAGCCACACCTATCTGCTTGCTTCTCTGTCTGTATGCAGGGCAACCTGGAAGTACCATAGGTTTGTGCTCTGGAGGAACCTTCAATTAGTGAGGAACTGGAGCCTGTGCATAGACACCCAGCTCCAGTCACTCAGTGGCACACGTTAATAGAAAGACCGAAATATGCTCATGTACACACACTGCCTTTCCTTCCCTGCTTTACTCCCCACTCCCTTGCAGCACTTCCTGGGGTCACCACCCAAATAAACTACTTATACCATGCCCTTGCCTCAGGGTCAGCTTTTGGAGAAACTCTAACTAGGGCTGCAAGTATTAAAACCTGAGAGGTTTCCATAAAATTCACAAAACTCAGATCACCTAAAGAGATAAAACAATTTATATGCAGATAAGAAGTAGCTAGCAGATGGCATTGTTTTGTCAGGGCTGGCAAATTAAAATGAGTAGTAACCAAATACCAAAAACATGAATAGGAAGAAAAACTCCCACCCAGGTGTTGGTCTCTGTTTGAAGCAGAGGGAAGGTGGAGTTTGGTTCTTAGCAAGGGCAATGCCCCCGAGGCCCTGGTGTCTTCTGATCTCCAATTTGTGTCTCTTTCTGGCTGCCCCTTGGTCTGAGTGCCCCTTTCTCTATCCAAAAGGGATGGATATGATCCTGTGCTCATTATTTCCAGAGCAGACAGACTTGCATTTGGTTCATGTACTGCTAAGAGAATGGTCTCAATCATTCTCTTGTGCCCCAGATGACCTCCTTTGGCCCACCTGCTTACAGTAGCCAGTTTGATGACTGGCAGCACCTTCCATCACCTGGCAACACCAATCTCTTGCTTTCTGTCCTGGAGCTTCTCTTTTGCCATCTCTTAAGATGCCTTCTGGAAATCATTCAACTGTTCTGAAGCATGGATTAGATAGATACAATCCTAGAAGTTCAAGGTCATGAACACCCTGCAGAAAAATTCTTGACCAAAGGGAGAAGAAAGCTGATGGATAATTTCTTGTTTATCCTTCTGGTGGACAACTTTGAGGTGTATTCTATGCAGCTTTTTAGAGCGCCCCCTGGAGGATTGAGCCAAAACTGCCCATGGTGTTTAGCTTGACAATTCAATGTCTTCCAGTAGTTTGGGGATGAAGTGCCCAAAGTAAACTTTCTGCACACATATGCTATGCCCAGCCCAGTTCTCTAGGGAACCAAGTACAGCTTAGTTCCACATCCCAGAATATCAAGGTTACTTTGTTTCTCCGTTTCCAATGGCTCTTCACAGACCTTTCCAGCCCAGTAGCTCTTCTGTTGCTGTCGTGGTCTCATCTTGTTCTCCCATGAACGAGAGTGTGAATGTCTGAAAAACTGGAATTTTGCTGCTGATTAGCTACTCTTAAGGAACTAACCATTTGTAAAAATATGAACAAACACTTAAGACCCTAACTTCTGGACCTTCTTGTTGAATTTTGAGAATTCTGATAAGCTCATTCCTCTGCTGATGGTCCTCCATTCATTTTCACCTTTCTTTGAAATTTACAGCATTTATACCTGTGCATTCAGGTTTGGTGGGTTGATTGACTCAGAAAAATATTTAATAATATTCATGGCATTTGGAAAAGCACTATTGAGAATACAAAGCAGCTGAGGAGAAATTGCTGGAATTTAGAGATAATTTGAGGATGAAATAGGGAAAACTTTACAAATAACTAAAGCAAGTAAAATGCAGAATGTAGTAAGTGTGGCAAGCTTTGACAAGGTGTTATGATGGAGAGAGAAATCACATACAGTCAAAGCTGTAAGATAGAGCCTTCGTACTGTTTCTCATTGCGGTAGTGAGGGATGAGGCTTCTCCTGGACCACAATGAGAACAGCAGAGGCAATGGCAAAAATGCTCTGCTTGGCTAAGGCAGTTTTGAAGGAATATTTTTAAATTAAATTTGTGAAACATTTTGGTGACTCTGTACAGTTAAAGCTCCAAAGGCATTTCAACAAGTTTTAGTACTCTGCCATCAAATGGCTTGTTTATCCTTTCCACAATTGAGTTTTTAGAGTTATAAAATGTATCTTTTCTGAGGTTGTAATGTCATAATAGATGAGTTTTTGAATCATTCCAACTCTTCATGCCTCCTGGGTATTTCTGCTCATTTATGAGAACTTCATTGCTATTCATGTGTAGATGGTAGTTTGACCTAGAAAGAACAAAACATTAAAAATAATGATTACATAATCCATGCTATCCTTAATGAACTATTTATTATGTTCAGAGAGCTACAGATATTATATTACTAACAGATTGTTCACATAATAGTTATGTCTCACAAATAGGATATTTCTTAGCTTGAAATTCTTAAGCAAATTCTGTTTGTTTCTTTAAATTAAAAAGGTTGGTATTAGGGTATGTTAATGACATTTTTGTTCCTATAAAATGAAGAGCTAAACTAGCTGAGGTCTAAGACTACTCTAGCACAGTGTGTTCTGCAAACCAGCAGCATCCATGCCACCTCTGGGCTTTTAGAAATGCAGAATCCTGGGCCCCAGCCCAGAACTACTGTCTCAGATTCTGCATTTAACAAGATGTCCAGTGATTCATAAGAACTTTAAATTTTAAAAGACTCTGAAGTACTATTTTCTACAACTATAGTTTTACGAGTTTTAAGAACTAACTTTGGCTTTAATTGCAGTAATACCTGACATACAGGACACTCTTGAGACACCTGGTGACTGAGGTACTTGGGTTTTAGAATATATAAGTATATTTTGAAATATTAATTTCTAGTAAAGATTTTCTGTTCCTCCTAAGAAAAGCCCAGTTATAGGTTTAAAGGACCTTTCATTACAATAGTGCTTTTTTCATGTACTGATCATTTATGTACTACTGAATCTCAAGGAAAGTTAGGTTTTAGAAACTTAGAACCACCTTAATAGACATATATTGGATGTATCTCTTGGGAGGGGGTAAAATAACATTTTATATTTGCCCAAATGGTAAATGTCTAAGTAGTGTATTCAGTTATATTCAATAATATTATGAAATTTTATGCTGGTTTTTAAAGAATTTTTTTCTACGCATTGAACTGAGTAAGGAGTGGCGTCATTACTCCAGGGTTTGGGAGATAAACCCAGCCTGAAGCACAATTGGTAAAGAAGCAAATTGACACAGACTCTTTGGAGGACATATCTACAGCTTTTCAGTGGGCATACATTCTGAAAGAAAAGTTTCACTTTGGAAATCTATAACTACATTCCCATATGTTTATAGAAAAATCTGTACTAGAATGTTCACTGATACCATTTTACATAAACATGAAAACTGGAAATTACCTGAATGTCTGTTATCGCTAGTAAAGAGATACATTGCTGTCCAAGATATGTTATTAGATTCAAGTACTTATACAGATTACAAAGACACATTTAGATGAGCTATAGATATAGGTGTATGCATAGACAATGCTTGAAAGAATAAATAGCAAGCTTATCACAATGGCTGCCTCTAGGAAATGGCATGGTGAAAAAAATGGAAGACTAACTTTTCAGTTATTTATTGTTTGATTAAAAAATAAATCTACATTTTAGAAATAATTATTGTTTTTCTTTTGAATATCTTCCTGCTAGCCAAAAATTATATATGGTTAGATTAAAACATAGACTTATAACCCATATGTTGTGGCTCAGTGGACTGAGTACCAACCAGCCTGTGAATCAAAGGGTTGCCAGGTAAATTCCCAGTCAGGGAACATACCTGAGTTGCAGGTGGGGTCCCAGTTGGGGGTGTGCAAGAGGCAACCACATACCGATGTTTCTGTCCCTCTCTTTCCCTCTCCCTTTCCCTCTCTCTAAAAATTAATAAACAAAATCTTCTTTTAAAAAATATAGGCTTAGAAATTTTAGAGTGTGTGCAAGCTAAATAAATTAAAAATAGAAAAAATTCAAGAAGAGTTACTCAGGAAAATATTTCTTAGCAATTCTCAGCTGCAGGGTTCTGAGAAAACTGAATTCTGAATTAATAAGTTTCCTATTATTAGTTTAAGATATTTTGGTATATGAACAACACTTAAACTCACTTAGAAATTTTTATCTTTTAAGGCACCTAGTATATTTTTAAAAAATGAATAAATGACCAAATTGGATTAAATATTTGGATATATTTTCAACATTTACTTCCGAGAATTTGAGTGGTATTATCTATCATTCAACCCCTCAGCTTCCCTCTGTGACTGTACATGTAAACTGTGAAAATCACATCAGAGCCCAAATATGAGACCTACTAAAAATGTCAGCCCTAGGCCTGTTCCCTCCCCCTCTGTGACTCAGGCCCTGAGAGAAGAGCCTCACTATTTCTTCCACCATCCAGAAATAGTCACACCTGAGAGAAAGCAGTGAGTTCAGCAAACTGGGCGTGTTTACGCTTAGGAATTGTTTGCCAGTGCTGCTTTCCATATTAGCTATGATTATGAGACAAATTGTATGTCACTGTCCCAAAGTAACAAATAAAAGAATATATAAAATAATATTAAATAAAACATTCATTGTACAAGCAATAGCCTACATAGAAAACCTTTTTCCTTCCTCCCTTCCTTCCTTCCTTCCTTCCTTCCTTCCTTCCTTCCTTCCTTCCTTCCTTCCTTCCTTCCTTCCATTGAGCTATGATATTAGTTTCTGGAGTACAACGTAATTGCAGATTTTTCTTTCACAGATAAGCCACAAGCCTTCTTGGTGGTCAAGGCAGTGATGAAACCATAAAATAGTTTCACTTTTTAAAACACTAGCCAGTGCCTATCTCTAGCATAGTGCTTATTAAATTGACAGGTATCTAATGCATGACTGTTGATTAAAAAGATAAATGAACAAGTATATAGTGCAATCTGGGAGAAAATCCTTGATTAGCATTCAAGGGAATCACACTCCATGTTGGAATAAGTTATTAAAATCTTATTTAAAATACAGTACACTTATAGGGCATTTATTATTCCTTTTGGATAGGAAGAAATGCTACACTAGTTATTGTGGCAGACAGATTACCCTGGGGTGGTGCATTTCATTCTTTTCCGATATTAAATACTTTGTTTCTCTAATTACTTATTTGGAACCGAAATGTGCTCATATATAACCATGTGCTAGATAAAATGAGGAGTGAGCTGGCATATTAAAATCTGTGGCTCTCTTCAATAAAACTTAATGAGAAAATCTAATTAATACTCATAATAGAGAACAATTATTTCCTTTAAAAAGATAATCACCTTGATGCATTAAAAGTATTTTAGTTGACTAATATTTAGGGTTGACCAAGCAAAGCCAGGTACCATTACCGTTACTGCAATCCAAAATTGAACATACCAAAGTTTATAATGTGACCAAATGGTTTGATCTAAAAATGTTGAGGTATTTAATTTCCAATACATTTATCCCAACCTTTAAAAAATGTTATATAACATTCTATGGGCTACAAATTCCTGGCCCTGGCCTGACCCTTGAAAAGTCTGTGGTTTAATGGGAGGAGACAGGGGCATAAACACACTTACAATATAAAATCAGTGCTATGCTCAGATGTAAGAAAGAACAACATGAACTCACAGTGACAGTAGAGATTTAGAGATTTGTTTAGCCTGGAGCCAGCAGGAAAACCTTTACTAAATTGGAGGTATTTTAGTTTGAAACTTGTTTGTACTTTGTCCAGTAAAGAAAAGAGGACATGAATAAATGAGTAAAGGAATGTCCCACTCAGAAAAAACAGCACGGGCAAAGGTAAGGAGGAGAAAACACTCACTGTGTGAAAACCGAATACGGGACACAAATCATGTCTTATTTATCATTGTCAAGTTACTGACAAGCCATATAGTATCTGTGTGTCTTCTTTTAAATGTACTTTCAAATAGGAAAAACAACAAAACAAATTGCATTTTATTCAGTTAACTTGCTTCTTTCTGACTGAGGAACATGCCTCTCTCAGGAACAAACAGGTTTGCATTAGTATTTATCTTGTTGCTGTGATAAGCATGTCCAAAACAGTGATACCAGGTCCAAGAGTGCTAATGCTCAATTGAATTAAATAGCTCCCATTGGGATATTATTCCCAAAATAAATTTGAGTAAACATTGAAAAACAAACAAACAGTGATTTTTAGAACAAGAGGTTCTGAGTGACGGCCAGTGGGGTGCATGGGGAAGTGTACTAAAAATGAAGCTGCAGAGATAACGCCCGTGCAGGCCAGCTTGGATGGTCTGAGGGACTCCCTGACCAACCCTGAGTCCATTTTCATGCAGGAACATTGCTATGGGTTCTCCCATTTCTTGCTTAGCTTGGCTGCTGACCCCTTGCTAGTTGCCTTGCTAGTAGACCTAGTGCCCATCCCTTGCTTCCAGATAAACCTTGTCCAGAATCAGGTCTGTCAGTACTTGCCCATACTCTCCACCCAGCACCACACCCCTGACTCCTTAATCTCCATCCTGTGCACCCTGTTTGCAGTTGTCCCTTTTATCTTTTTTTGTTGTTTTTCCATTTGCACTAATATAAAAAAATATAATCTCATTTCTCAGGGAACCCAGAAGATTAAAAAAATATGGATATGACTAGAAAATTCAGATAGTTCAGAAAGAGATGACATGAGTAGTGAAATTCTGTCGTTTCTCTACAGATCTCTTTCCCCAAAGGATGTGATATTGTTAACTTCTTGTGATTTCCTTCTGGGAAAACTAATGTGTAAATATGCTTTATTCTCTCACAGGGGTAAACCTTATCAATTCTATTTTCTGAGGCCATGCTCCATGTCACCCAAAATTTCAGTATATTTGCAATTTGAAAAGTACTTTCTTTGGGTAGTTTTAAGTTTTTCTTGTTTTTGGTTGCTTGTCTTTTCAAATTTTAATATTGTGTTTTTCTTTCTCTCTCTCTTTCTTTTTTCTTTCAGGTAGCTTCATCAGTAAGTTACCTATTCTATTACTTTGCTTTTCAACTTAATCTACTTTTCTTTCTTTCCAGTTCATCAATTTTGTTTTTATCTTTATTTCCTTACCTTTCTTTGGGTTTATTTTGTTATTGTTTTGTAATGATTGGTTTTGAGTAGTTAATTCTTTTGTTTTCACTCTTTCCTTTTAGTTATGTGGGTATATAAGGCTATGTATTTTTCTGTGCTTTCAGGTGATAATGTTTATTGTTTTAATTATAATAACTTTCTAGATACTCTGCAACTATA